TACGACATACATAACAAGACTTTTCAAGGGCTGAAGCGAGCTCCAGACTTATACCGGTTTTCAGTTCCTAGTACGTATTTATAAATTTAAGCATAATACAATGCCACATGATTTATATAAGGGTGGTGTATAATATATATTTCATCAAGCGATATCAAAACTAGTATATACGTACTATATAGTGTTAAATATATATATATATATATATATATATAGCTTCCTTCGTTTATATTTCTATTTCTTAGTTTCATGTTATATTCGGATTTTTCCAATTTATTTCAAATCGACAATAAAAACATATATTTAGGCGTAACAGTCATCGTTGTTACCATTATTATGTTCTGTCCCATTCGTATATTGTACTATAATGCAAGACGCTGGTTCATTCTTACTCTGGTATGGATATTTAATGTGAAGATTAATGTGACTCGTGCATGAGTTTAATTAATATATTTCATTTCATTTTTGGTAGGGTCGTATCATAGCTTCCTTTTGGTTTGGTATTGAATTTCGAGATTTCTTTATTGCCGATGTATTGAACAGCTTATCTTATACCTTTGTTGCTATACAACTGTCTTTTTGCTATCCATGTACGTTTTTTTGTTGAAACATTTCATGGAATTTTAAATTTAACATCATATTAACCCTTTAAATACAATACCAAAATGTTAGTGGACGGGTTTAAAACTCTCTGTACAGATTCGAGTTACTTTTCAGCAATTTCTACGAATCTTACTGCGCCTTTTTTAAGCTCTATCCCTGCATGGTTACGTATAGCTCAATGTTTAAAGCGTCTTTGGGACACTAGAGAAATAATACATATGATCAACGCTTTGAAATATGCGTCAACCATATTATCAATGGTTTTATTTTGGTCGATGTTAAGAGACAGTTTGTATTTTATTAAGTTTTTGAATCGCTATAATTGCTATAATTGCTATAATTGATATAATTTAACATGATAAATATTTTTGCAAAAATTTTAGGTAATAACGGTCTTCTAAAAGGATGTTGGATCATATCTCAAATATTTTCCTCTACATATACATTTATTTGGGATGTCAAAATGGATTGGTCTTTATTACAGATTCATTCTTCTAACTATTTGTTAAGAGATGAACTAGGATATAAAAACCCAGATTTATATAGAGTTGCTATCGTTATCAATTTGTTTCTAAGGTTTTCTTGGGTTCTGATTTTATTTTCGAGTGGCAATAAATATTATTATGTTGTCGGAATTATAATGGCCTTCTTAGAAATTTTGAGGTAATTAATTATATGATTGGATTCTTTCATTGCTTTTAAATCTTAATTGTCTTAATTTTTTCAGACGTTGGATGTGGAGTTTCATCCGTGTTGAAAATGAGCACGTCGATAATTGTAAAGGGTATCGTGCCATTAAAGAAATACATTCCCTTTTCATTTATTCTGACGGAATAGTCGAGTCAAATAATGAAAATTATCCGGTTGACACAATAGGTGTAGACGAAAGGTTAGAAGCTCAAAGATCAAAATTTGATTCAATAATGAGAGGATGGGTGAACCGGTCCATGAGTATGAGAGTTAGTAAAAAAAATAAATGGAGAGATTTTAATCCAAGATATGACAGGAATGAAGAATTGTATAATAGCGACGATGAATATGATGATGATAATGATTCTGGTGACATGACAGATGATATGAAGGAAACATCGGCAGAATTCTATGCAAGTCGAAGGCTGCCTATATTCAATGACATAGAAAGAGCTGATTCAGATACTTTATGAAAATTAATAGAGATCGTGTTTATTTACCGAACATTTAAATATTTTCACTTTGTTTTTAAATATAAAAAAAAAATGAAAAAAAATACGTAATAAGCATAAAGAAATTTCTCGTCATTATTGTCTTTTTTACTTATGAGCATTATTGAAAACAATTAATTCTTGACTTTGTGGTAGCATCTTATATAATTCACATATAAATTTCTATACTGAGTTTTTAATATTAAAATTAATAAATAATTCTTTATTTTGAATTGTTAACGTTTTGTAAGGTAACGCGCGACGTATTATGTAAACCAGGAACGTGCTGTAGCACAAGATTTAACTAAATTAGATTAAATTTAGACGTTACCATATTGTTCATCCATGCTGTTCGATTTTGTACCTTAGGGATATATTCTATAACATAAAAATTTTTACATATAAAAAAACTACCTAGTGCACCTGGACTTCGTTTGTGAATGTACTGCAACCAGAATATTTAGTCACGCAGTACGGTAGTTCCGTCAAAAAAATGATTTCTAAGCTATTTCAATGAATATATTTGGTCATAATCAGAACGATTGTTTAGCAAAATCAACTATATATATACTGTATATATCGATATGGTAAAAAGATAAAACTTAATCGATTCTGATATCACGGGCCAAAAATTTTTCTGGCAGACTATATTAGTCGATCATTCGTACTAAACGAGATAATATCCGTCCGTACGAATCAGGATGGATTATCAAGGGGAAGTAACATAGACTTTAGACTTTTGTCACTTACCGGATTCAAATGAGTCTGTAAATTATAAATTTAAAAACCCAAAGTCCAGCTTTTCTTCTGGAAGCATTCATATATCCTGAAATACTACATTACATTTAAAATATGTAATAATTGGCTTCGAGCATATGTTTGTTTCTAAGGTTGATTGATAGATTAGATTCCATTTCTATTCGATGATTCCAAGCTCTGTCTTAGGTCAGCAAATTACAGAATTAGGAACTAATTCCCTTTGATACGTATTTTAGAAACTGCCAATTTCGGACATCCTAATAAGAATCTAATTTTAGGTAATAATATTGTAGACATTATACCACCTAAATATTTGACGTATACAATGATTCATAAAGCTTTTGATCTTATGTTCGAGTTTATTTAGGGATGTAATTCGAAAGAATAAGCTACAAATTTAACCACTAAAGTCATCTCTTGTTCACAGCACAAAACTAATCCTTAACCTTTTCAGTAAACGAACTTTTTCATTGTTATTTTTTCTTGAAAAAGTAATAAATCAATGAAAATGAAAAATCTAAATGAAAATTAATAAGTCATGAAAAAATATACTTACATACTTTTTTGATCCGACAGGCTCGCTCCAATATGATCCATCAACGAGATCATCTTTTGCTTGGTGATCAAGAGCTCGACGATATTTTGGAATCTTGTTATCTTCAAAATTTTTCTCATTTTTGCTGTCAATCTTTTCGTGATGTTTGTTATTTGAATTCTGCGAAGATTTAGGCTTGTGTTGAGAATTATTCGGCGTCGAATCTCGACTTGAAGAATGGTTGCCGTAACCTGAAGTTGCGTACTGTGATTGACATTTATTTAATTTATGAATTTTTTGATAACAAATCTAATCGAAAATATGTAAATTGTCACCTTAAGTACATTCATTCTATCTAGTCTAATAGCATGAACTCGTGACCTGTTAGGACGTAAGCGAATGAAGTACATCTTTTCTTTTGATTCCTTGAACAGACTGCAGAGAATCGAAATGCTTATTAAATATTCAACAAAAATCGTCATTATTTTGTAATACCCTTAAATAGTGACTAAAACCTGAAAACATTATGTCATAATATTAAGATATTTCACATTACAGAGTAGGACAGAAATTTGGAAACCAAAATAACTGTCGTAGTATTGTCGTTATGTAATTATTATAAGAAATTTTATTAAATAATACAAAGCATATATTAATTATATTATGTCACGCTTTGCATCTGTTTTTAAATTTCAACTTGGAGCAAGGCTATTCATTTTCCCGGCCATGCAGCCAATTGTTTCAAGTGTCTTTTTTGATACATTAGAATAATGACATATAATATGAATCAAAAATGATATTTTTGAATGGACGGGAAAATGAATAGGCATTTTCAACTCTGATTTGGAGTTGCACTGACTGAAATTAGCTTCTTTGCGTGTGATTTTAGGAGGCGCAGCTTTAAGTACGTCACTATTTAATTCGGTCAAAAATTAACAAATTGTGTGAAAAGTAAAGCTGGCTTTCCAAGAGGTTCAAAATTGCAGAACCCACTTAGAATTACCACCCAAATCAGTTACGTAATAGTAGTTTTAAAATTATATCTGAGTTATAGATTACTTCGAATCTTATAATTTAAACTATGGTTCATATTTCGCAATTATTTTAATTTATTGTCAGTAAAAGATGTTCTTATTACTTCCACTCTATGTTTTCAACCCATTTTTTGCCTGCTTCAAATTTTTTATATCTTCCATCATTCAACATTTTTTTTTGATTCGGAAGTTCACGAGGCTTATATACTAGGAACTGGAAACCGGCATAAGTCTGGAGCTCGCTTCAGCCCTTGAAAAGTCTTGTTATTGTCTGGAGCGAAGCGACAGACTTATATTTCTACGCCCTTTGATGACCAAAATTACGTTTTTGATAATTTATAGTAAAAATATTAAAAACGTAGTTTGGGTATTTTCCGGATGTAACGCCCTTGAAAAATTTGATTTACATACGTACATACATAACAAGACTTTTCAGGGTAGGGATGGCAACGGTCCCGCAGTAATTATAAACCGACTTTGAGCAAGATTTGTAAAAAATTGGTATTTTTAACTAGTGTTCAATTAATAAGTAAAGTTGTAGAAAACTTTTTTTTTATAATAGTATCTAATAGAAGTATGTCAGTTTTAGCATTAGTTTTTGAGTAATTTTGATGGGACCGATTAAGGACCGATCAGCTAAATTTTCTTCACACTGTTCGGTCCTTAATCAGTCCCATCTAAATTACTCAAAAACTAATGCTAAAACTGATAAACTTTTATTATATACTATTATAAAAAAAACAAGTTTTCTATAACTTTACTTAATAATTGAACACTAGTTAAAAATGTCAATTTTTCACAAATCTTATTCAAAGTCAGCTTACAATTACTGCAGGACCATTGCAATCCTATTTCAGGAGCTGAAGCGAGCTCCAGACTTATACCGGTTTCTGGTTCCTAGTATATGCCATAAATAAATTTTTCAGGGGCATTACATCCGGAAAATAACAAAACTACGCTTTTAATATTTTTACTATAAGTCTGTCACTTTGCTTCAGACAATAAATATTGGAAACCGGTATTTCTACACCCTATGTAGATCACTTAATTTTAAAATTGATTGACAACTACCTGAAGAATTCAAATAAAAAAATTATTGAATTTTATTGGGTGATTTTTCCGATCAAAGTCATGCACAAATTTGCTGCAACTCAATATTTTGATAAACGTTTAAAATTTTTAAAAATTTTATAAAAGATATCTCAATAATTATTTAGTGAAATTTGATGAACTTTTTTCTTTAAGGGTAGAGTATACATAGATCATTTTTTATATGATATGTATGGCAAATCAAGACCTTATATAGACAATAAAAATTAGCTACTGATAAAAATTTTTATAGACATAGTTAATCATTACCAAATTTTTGTAGAACATAAATTGTAACTTCTATTTATAGTAGTAAAATTTTAAAGGCTA